GGCTGAGTTATAGTCCGATGGTTGAGTTATCAGAAGTTTGGCTGAGTTATGTTATCGACACGGCTGACTTAACTTTCTCCGGGTGGCTGAGTTATCGATAACGGCTGAGTTATCAAATGTCGTTACGGCTGGCTTATGTTTCAGAGACATAACTCAGTCGTAATTGGCTGACTTAACGGAAAACTCAACCATGTTACGGCTGACTTATAGACAAAAAATTTATTGCTAATATAGCCTCCAGTTACGGCTGACTTATTTTACGTTACGGCTGACTTATTGACGTTACGGCTGAATTTGGCATCTTAAAAAACATTTTAGTAATTACTTAAATATTTTTCATGTTGTGGCTGACTTAATTTGTGTTGATGGCTGATTTATCGTTGGCTGAGTTACAAAGTTGTTTGGTGGCTGACTTACGACTTCAAATTCACAATTCCACGTCAGCATAAACGAGGGAAATACGAAAGGTCCCGCATTAGCTCGTGTTTTTTCTTACACTATGTTCTTCATTTTCTGTTCTTCACTTCACTTATGTTTTTCATTTTCACTTCTGTTCTTCATTTTCACTTCTGTTCTTCACTTCTTTTCTGCATTTTCAATTCTGTTCTTCATTTTCGTTAATGGATCATCCGGTTCCAGTGATTGTTGTGTCTGGTAACTGGGCAAAGAAACAAAAATATGTATTTAACACTGACGATAGAGGTTGTAGAATTGTGCAAATAGATGCGGAAACAACGCACGAGAAGCTAGTGAAATTGGTTCTTGATGACTACGGACTGCATCAACGCGACCTTTCGTCTTCTTTAATATAATAACTCAGCCGTAACATAACTCAGCATACGGAATATATTCATGTTATGTTACTGATAACTCAGCCGTATAAGGTTACCGATATCTCAGCCCAATAGGTTACAGATAACTCAGCCGTAACGCGACCTTTCGTCTTCGTTTCCCGTACGATAACTCAGCCATCACATTAACCAACGCAACTTTCCGTCTTCTTCC